CTTAGCGCTCTTACTGAGGACGTGTGATTTGATGAGAACCATGTCACCTTCGTTGAATGTTTCAATGGGCCGTCTCGAACGATCAGCATACCCTTTAGCTTTATCTTGAAGCGTCTCTACACGTTCGCGCACCGCTGAAAAGGAGTTAACAAATTTCCAAGGAGTTCTTTCCGAGATAGGGAGTTATTTGGGGAACAAAGTTATCTTTGTCTAGAACAGCACGAAGGTCATGGGCGACTTCTGTGGGGGACCTCATCTCTCTGCCAAATGACAAGTAAGCAGGTGACATACCTGTGGTGCGACATTTAGCGTTATTAAGAGCGAATTCAGCAGACAAAAGCATGGCTAGGCCTCGTATGATGTTAGCGTCAGATACTTGAACGCATTCTGTATAACTTTCAATTGCATCTATAAAGGCCTCAACAGATTCACCAGGTGCACCGCTGAAAGAAGCTCTGCAACGCGCCAAGGTACCATCTACGTTCACTGGGGGCATCGGCGGAGGTGCCGGAGTCGACGATCTTTGTTCCATCACGTACGACATAATGTTCTTAAATGTTTCGGCCTGCGAACGTTGCAGCGAGGCCATCAACGCTGAAACATCATCCAAGTTGAACGTAGAATTGTTGCTACGTGATTCGGCGTGGGGGCGATCATGGGGGCTATCATGCTCCTCGTGATTTTCGTTGGCATTTGCATCTGCAGCAGGAATAACGTCGTCTTCGCGACGTTGCTGGCGATCTTGATTTCTAGTTAAAGGCATTCTTTACAATTAAGCACCAACAGCATACAATAGTTAGCAAATTTTTCACAAAAGCGTGCGCGCCATTTTGTTAGTCCAAGCAAGAAAAAAATTAGGAAACGTTGGGCAGCCAGATATAGTGAGGGGTAGATCTCAGGGGTATTTAAAACTATGGGTTAGTCACCAATATCGAATTTCGAATTTTAATCTTCCTTTATCACAAACAATTTTCAATTTTAAACAATAATTACATTTAGACGCGGGCGCACGCTATTCACACTCAAAACGGAAGCGCCCGGAACATAGATTATACACTGTTGAAAAGATTGACATAGATGCTAACTATGTATAGCGAGCGGGCATACGGCCGCGAGAGTGACGTACCGGTCGGTTTGCTACAACCTACTTTAAAGCTATGTACGTGTAAAATACCAAGATCTAATCTCTATCACGGCACTTACAACGCCAGCCCCAATTTCAGCACAATCGCGTTCGTTCTAAGACAATATCTTTACGCGAACGAGTACCCACAAATGTACATATGTAAATACAAGCTTTGTGAATAACTACAAAATGTAGAAAATAGGATGTTAAATTTACGACCATCTGGTGTAGTGGTAAGTGACATGGTCACTACACAAGGGGCTCGCAGGTTCGAATCTCTTCGCGCGCCTTTCTCAAGGCGTGGTCTCCCGGCAGGAATTGGAAGAAGAGGAGGACCCCTGTCTTCTTCTTCTCCCTGTTCTTCTCTGAAGGCACCGGAGTCCGACATAACCCGGTCTCAAAAAAAAAACCCCTCGACCGGGTATCCGAAAATGGATTCCCCAGCGTAAAAAAAAAAGTTCGAATCTCGCCAAGGGAAGATATTTGTATGATAAATATAAAGTGTCTTTTCCTGGGTTAAATCTTAAATTTATTTCCGTTATCTGGTACCTGTAATAGGAGTTCTTTACGAACTTAGCACGGGACCAGTTAACGTGGCGTGATTGTTAGTAAACATTTATTTATTATTTATTATTAAATTGTTTTATTGTACGTATATGTTTCGTCCATTATTTTATATTCAACAGCTCAAAATGTTATCAAAAAATATTTCGAGAAAAACAGAGCAACCAGAAACCAACTAAATACAATCATAATTCACAACAAAATACAACTAATATAATTGGGCTACCGTTTAATTAATTTGAAACATATCACCGATGAAAACGTCAAGCGCATGGAGGTATTTTGGTACAGGGCGAGATTTTTAATTATTTTGTTAAGATTTTTAACTTTGCCAACCTTGCGTTACCCAAATATTTATTTCATTATTTCGAAGCAATCTAGTCATTAACAGCAAGAAAATAGCTACTACTTAAACTAACTTAATATAATTATTCTTCTTCTTCTTCTCCTCTTCGAATAATTTACAGATTTCACGGTCACGAACATTTCACATGAAATTAAGCCGAAAAAGTAATTTCAATTAATGCTTACGAGTTTAAAAACCTAAGAATACATTGTATTCTAACTTGTGTGTGTGTGTGTGTGTGATTTAAAAAAGTAATTAAACAATCAATCACTATCAAATATAATTTTGCCAAACGTATTTCATAAAATATACATTACCTTATCACACTCACAAAGTCAAAGGAACTACGTATATTTCACAAGAGGATCGATCGACCACAATCCATCATTTACTTTTCTTTTCACACTAATAAACAGATTATATTCACAAAAAACTCGAACAACCGAATAGCTAAATAAATTGAATAAATTTCTTTTTTGGTTTGTATTTTATATTAGATTTTTTAAAAGAAGAAATTAGCTTTAGCAGATGTTTAAGATGCTAATGAAAATAAAAAAGCTCCAAATACTACTAAACTCTGAGGTGAAAATAATTAATTAAAAGTACACATAAATTTTTTAAATACTTATTAGTTTACAAACGAAGTCATATATACAGCAAGAATTCTGACATTTTCTACGTCGGTGGAACTGTAAATCCTGATAATCCCCGCGAAGACGCGTCAACATTTCCAACGAATACACGAAGCAAACAATGTTTATTTTCACAAAAAAAAAACCAACAAAATTGTACGTTTTGAGGACACGGCGCAGATTTATTATTCTTCATCCTCTTATAATTAAATACGACTGTTTACAGAGGATCTTGGCCATTAAATAAAGTAGATAAATCGTGATAAAATGTAAAAAAGCTGCCTGGAATTGCTATCATTCATATCTCCTGTGACACGTTGGAAAATGTGTGTGTGTTTTCTTTAACGTTACGTTTTTCTCAACGAATTAAAAAAATAGAAGCTTGTACGTTTAATAGTAGTTTCTTAGTATGATTCCAAAAAAAAAGGAAAATGCCTTAATTGTTTTGTCTACGTAATAAATACATTTCGTAGCAAGAAACAAAAACGCCAGAACATTCCTACTTATGCTTCTAATCACAACATCAGTACACAAGGCAACGATATTTCTTAATTTATCGCTACGAAGTTCAGAACGTGAACACGTAACCAAACGGCGAATTAATTCAAGTCGCTATCAAAGAATCGCACTCTACAAGAGGATCAGGGCGGTGTGTTCACCAAAAATCACTTTCGCCTCGGATGTTATTGCTTTTATTGTTCATACACGCTCTGGCAACCCGTAATGGTACTTCGAGCTGTGAGTTATTTGGCAACTTGCTTACTCGCCTCCCGTTACACGATTTATGCACTGTACATCCGATAAGTCCTGAAAAACAATGCAGTTAAAACCGGTATCGGATTAAGTTAAAAACTCGAAATGAAATATTTTAGTGAACACTTTTATGTTTTTTGCTAAGCATTTAATCTATACTAATATATAAATCTACAGTGGTTTTTACGGATGTTCGGTTATAAGTACTGAACGATGCATCCGATTGACTTAAAACTCGGTATCCATGTAGAAAATACATGTGCTTAATGGATAGGCTAATATTTATATGAGTGTTAGAAACCCCTACACCAGTTGCGGGGGCGTTAATGACGAGAATCTTGGGTGAAAAATAATAATGTTAATTTTAAATGGCCAGCGAAGCGGAAGGTTACAACTAGATTTGTTATATGTATATATTTTATTGCTTAGATGGGTGGACGAGCTCACAGCCCACCTGGTGTTAAGTGGTTACTGGAGCCCATAGACATCTACAACGTAAATGCGCCACCCACCTTGAAATATAAGTTCTAAGGTCTCAGTATGGTTACAACGACTGCCCCACCCTTCAAAACGAAATGCATTACTGCTTCACGGTAGAAATAGGCAGGGTAGTGGTACCTACTTATGCGGACTCACAAGAGGTCCTACCACCAGTAGGATATAATCATGGCCCGCCTGATTTTTAATGGTTACCACAATGTCAAACAAGCGTTCAAGTTTTAGATTACTCACGTAAATACAACGTCTTGTAAGAAAGGAACAACTGATACTGTATTATTGCAGTATACAGTCCTATATACATAAATTGGCATTGCGATTGTGTGTTTTGATAGAAGGTAGATGCGCATAAGGTCCTTCTAATGATGAGTTCTCTACGTTACTCATGAATATCAGTTGTAAATCAACAGTGTTAGAACGTATTCTGATCTCACAAGAGCGAAACCTTCATGTGTTTAAATTTACCATGTACCACTTCAATACCCACCGGACGGAAACAATTTTCAGTATAATAATAATTACATTTATTTACTCCACAATACAAATAACTTTTCAGTTTATATGACATAGATTTCTAATTCTATCTAAACAATATTACAATATATTAACTAAACTGGCAGTGGAGATAAAAAGGCTGCGGCTCAGCTTTGTCATAGCTGAAACTATCGCTGCTATTCTGCCGCTGCCTGATATCTTAAAAAACATTTAATTAAGCTTGTTAATTAAAGAAAAAGTAAATTCAATAATTCATTGTGGGAGACATTAATATTTGAGATTTTAAGACACACATTGATGTCGATTAAAAAGACAAACACTACACGCGACCAATTTTTTACAAAAACCATATCGGTATTTATGCCATTCCTGTCGTGAAATCTCGTCTATCTTGTCACAAAGCACTATGAATTTGGAATATACTCGTACATTCAAACACATTTCAATTGATCACCGGAGGCTGTGTGTTATCGCTAGCAACAATAAATATCGCGGTTTTGCTGCATATATTAATATTCGCATTAAACACTCTATACTCTAATCATGGAATATTATTAGCTAGGGAAGCTGTTTGAGCCTATTATTTTTAGTTATTACTGGTGGTAGGACCTCTTGTGAGTCCGCACGGGTAGGTACCACCGCCCCGCCTATTTCTGCCGTGAAGCAGTAATGCGTTTCGGCTTGAAGGGTGGGGCAGCCGTTGTAACTATACTGAGGCCTTAGAACTTATATCTCAAGGTGGGTGGCGCATTTACGTTGTAGATTTCTATGGGTTCCAGTAACCACTTAACACCAGGTGGGCTGTGAGCACGTCCACACATCTAGGCAATAAAAAAAAAAAGTTCGTTCCAAAGTTATTTAATACAATACTTGGTTTTGTTATTGCGCTAAGCGGGTAGATTTTTTTTTTTTTTTTTTTTTATAATAATAAATAAATATTTACTAACAATCACGCCACGTTAACTGGTCCCGTGGTAAGTTCGTAAAGAACTTGTGTTACAGGTACCCGATAACGGAAATAAATGTAATATTTTTATTATACACATACATATATTTAATATACATCCATAACCCTGGAAAAGACATTTTTATATTTATCATACAAATATCTTCCCTTGGCGGGATTCGAACCCGCGACCCCCTTGTGTAGTGACCATGTCACTTACCACTACACCAGACGGCCGTTAAAAGATATACTCACTATCTACCTAACGAGTGATAAAGTTGGGATGTGCCGAATTTAATTTTTAGAAATTAAACCGAAATCTGTAAGATGGAACGCAGCTTTATTTGCAGAAATAATAAAAGTTGTAGCACCCAATGCTGACATGCAATACGCCCTGTGAACGTAGGACTTGGATTCATTAAGCAATATGTTTGACAGTTTTGCCAACGCCTAGCTTTGTCATTCAAAAATAGACGTATTCATTTTATTTTAGAGCATAAAATTAAGAGCCGCAGTCTCTTCAAGGCCATACATAGCCGCTTTACGAAAATCCACATCGTTTTCTCCACTACTGCTCG